ACCCACGTTTCACTATTTATGTTATGAGTCCCATGTAATAGGGGGTGAGCCTATTGCCATATACCGGGCACATTCCAGACTCCGTGCTACTACTGAGATTTTTTTAACTCGTCGAGTACCGTATTTATAGACACAATTAAAGAACAATAGGTTGCTGTCACCGGTGACCGCTTGGTGTTTGACAGTTTAAATACCCAGAAATACTTTACCCGGTAGTTGCACTTGCAACCACTCGGCCAACGAGGCAGTCAGATTCAGAAACTCTTACTTATTTACCTCTATAGTAGAGCTCTGCTTTTTGACTCATCATCATTATCAACAGCCTATAAGTGCCCACTGCTGACCAAAGCCTCATTTCACACGGAGATTTGAGCATTAATTATTATCATTTTTTTTTATATAAAATTATGATTTTTTCCTGTGTCGTGGGTGCTTTTACAAACGTATAATTTTACAAGCACATGACCCCCAGACCCGAAACAACAATTTGTAGATCATACAAAGAATTGCTTCGTGCGGGAATCGAAACGTTACACGTTGCACAGCAGCCAGGCAGCTATGGCGCGAACCGTGCAGTCAAGTTTTCTGACTTATAAAAACAGTAATTTAATTAGACTAAGAATTTTACCACTTGTTGATTTAAAATAGTGAGAAGATTTTCTTCATTAAGTAATAATAGTTGGTTATGAACCTTATAAACCTTATTTTAGTTACCAATAAATTAGAGATATAGCGACACAAGCGCCTCTGGAGAATGCAAAAACCCTTTTTAATTACCTTAAAGGATGAAATTTTGTAAGAGGCTGGTTATATGGCCCACAGGTGATAAAAAAAGAAAAGAAGAAAAAGTTTTTAAATTATAACGCCTTGACTTTTCTCTTCGTATTAATTTTTGGCTCTCTGCCATAGTCAACTGTATTGAAACAGTTCAAGTACGATGATTTATCAAAATAAGGGCTTTGTTTAACTTTTTAAAACTCATTACAAAGCTGAAAGAGGTAGGCATTGCGTTTTATTTGCATACTGCATCAAACCAGTACACAAACTGGGAATTAATTAGACTACATTAAAATTAAAACTTTGCAATGAGTTCGACATGTTTGTCTTCTGTAGTTTTAATTTAGTTCAAGATGCTGTCAGACTAGATTAGATGGAGACGTGAGTGTATTCATGGCTCAAATTGTTTTTGTCATAACGTCTGTTATTTAAATGACTTTTCAATTAAAGTATCTATGTAAGTTTGGTACTTAAATATATTCAATAGGGTAATGACTATTTTTTATGTTAATTTCCGTCTGGTAGATTATTTAAAAACATTACACACGTATTTTTTATTTGCTTACGGTAACGAATAGTTTTGAAGATATAAGTATTGATTTGAAATAGGTATCGCATGACGTCACTTTTGAGCACGATTTATATTCTAAAATGACGTAGCTACCTCCCACTTCTAAACTTTGATTCGTTTTATCTAATACAACAAAATAAAAAAATAGGTGTCTAATATTTTTTCATTACCTAACTAACAGACTAATTAGATTATTAATTTTGATACCCTGTCATCATCCCTATTGTAAATAGAGTTATAGCTTCAATTTCTTACAAATTTCCATCAAGGACTTACCCTTAGCACTTTTGTCAGTCGGTCTACCAAGCAGACGAACTGAAATTAAATATTTAAACATTTACAGTTATCAACTCACTGTCGTTCACCAGACACGTATGATATGATTGGCATTCAATCTATCTACTAACAATTTCCTTTTCATAAGTCAAGGCAGTCACTTGTCATAATTGTTCTGTTTACTGTAGCGTAATCATAATTAATGAACTTTCCGATATTCACAGATTTGTCCCTACCTACCTACATATGTTCGACAAAGTCGCGGCTCACTGGCGCCAATTGTCTCATCACTAGAATTATTTATAGTCTGTGGCAGCAATGTGAGACTCCGACCTACATTTGTTCTACATCCAGCAAAATATATCGGTAACATAATAATTAATCTTATCAATGGCCGGACAACTTCAATTCAATCCTTCGATTCAATAACCGCCGGACATCAATATCAGCGAGACAATTTATAATTAATTGACCATTTCAATTATTAAAGTATATTAGTGGGCTGATTTTAGGTCAGCAATTAATATCAAAATGAGTTCAGTGGAGGTTCAACGGGTCCCGCTGCGGAAATCTATTAATTTGGCCGTAAAGTGCGGCCATTACAGGCGAGTCGCCAATTATTCCAGTCTCCCTCAGTAATTAAATTCTATGATGTTCGCCAATCTAAGACAGGCGCCGTTTACGATACCCAAATTACTGTTTCATTGCCCGTAAAAGATATAAGAATGGCTTATTATTGAGAATTCCAGTTATAATCGCACATAATTTTTTTGAGGGTCATAATCAGGAAAGTAGATTTAAGTTTTGGCGTTAAGTACGGATATTAATTAATTTTTATTTTTAAAGTTGTCTCGTTTGTAATTTAAATGGTATTATGAAGTATTGAACGCACTGGGTGCCGCCGCTGTAAGCCTTTATGTCATCAATGTTCCGGCTGTTGACACGCATTAAAAGAGGCTCAGACGCGCCGAAACTGATTTATTATACTCAGTGGAGAACGTTCAGCGTATTTTTGTTCTTGTTACGAGAATTATTCCAGCTTATTGCCCGTGTCCGCTTCCCGAACAAGTGCCCTCGCTTTACTCGATCTCATGAATTGTCAGCGGTCTCATTGTTGACTCTCTTATCGAGATTTTAAAATCTTCCGTGTCCGAGATTGTTCAGTTTGGTTGCAGCATTAAGTATTAAATGAAACACTGTTGAACTTTGTTAAAAAACTGCTTGTTTTTAAAAAAAGGTCTTCATTTTTGTCTTCACTGAGAGAAAGACTTTTCTATTGGATGAATTCTGCTAATAGATTTTTTGTTATTGATTCTAGATTCTCTATTTTCCATTGGTTCTAGATTTAAAACATAAAAGAAAACGCCACGAGTTGGCTATCAATATTTACAAGAAATTATTTAAAAAGTTGTGTTTTAGTAAGTACCTATATGAAATAGCAACGTTTTTTTTGCCTTTGAAATAAAGGAGTTACATATAAATTACAACACAGATTTAGATCTAAAATAATTTATTTTCTTGTTTCTTTTATAAAACAATTGCTTATTAACTAACTTAATTATATAATTTACAATAAACATATTTCATAGCGTTTCTTCTACATTTGTAATTATTTACAATAAGTATTTTTATACAATAAGTAACATTTGAGTAATGGCAATTACTGTTCATTATACTTAAACAAAAATATAATTAATAAATAGAAAAAAATGCGAAGTTTTCTAACACCGCTTTGTATAATTTGAACTTCAATCACAACATACAACAAGTACGATTTTATCTTTATACAAGGCAGCATGAGAAAGTATACAAGATTATAAGTATTGGGGTATAACATTACCTGGCTAACTAACCAACTTGTTTTAATTTTATTCAAACAAAATTCCATTATTGGCGAGACAACAATAAATAACAATTCGGAGGACAAATAAGCGAGGCTCCGTACAGCCAGTACCATCGACATAATAACATCGAACGACGTGTCGCACGCATCGCACGTCTCATATCTTAAAGTCTATATTTTTCTCGAATACAATCACTATCTACTCTCTGCAGATCATTTATATTATATAATACTGGTGACTATTAATTCAGTGGAACGTTATTGCTTTATTTTACGAATGAATCACTTAACGACTATCATCATCAATTTCTCTTTACACAGTACACAAAAATATTATCTACTCAATAAACTTTAATAAGTTTTTATTTATCGTAATGTAAGCATGCTTCACAAGGCACTATTCTAGCGAGATTATTATAAACTCAACCGAAAACACGACCAACTATTAAATTCGGTTTCAAAGTCCGAAGTCGGGCCTAAAATTACATTTTATGGCAACAAATCAATAACAAGTTTTTGAAACACAAACCGCGGTACTACAATGTAGAGCAGTGTCAACACGCAACAGTCAGCCGCTACTTGAACTCATACAAACAAAATAATGATACCTACAAGTCTACGCATCAACTCGACACGGTACAAACAAGCATGTCCTCGTTACATCATATCTTACATCTAAGTTGGCGTTTGTATTGCTCTTTATTTTAAACATCCCCTAACTCGGGAACACGACCTCCTATAAATAAGTTTAGGTACTTCACTTGTCAAGTACGGGCTTTACCATCGACTGCACCAAACTTAAACGTTATTTATGAACTTAGTTAACACAAGGAACTGTCACATTTTGTATTACTGTTAAACAATCTGGCGTGTATAATATAATTATGTAAATATCTTTGTTGAAAGTTGGTGCAATCTATATTTGTGCTTACAGTATTAAACTAAGACATTAAGTCTAATAATTTTTTGCAAACAATTTTATCACAAATTACAATTTAATGCGCCAGCACAATGATCCAATGAGAACTGATATCACAGCATTTTATACAGGTGGCGTCGCACCCTTATAATCTGACATTTTTGACATACATATTTACAGTAGATTTTCATTGCGAAGGCGAACGGTCCAACTCGTTCATTGAAGCGCTAAATATTTACGAGACCGTTGTCCTTACTATATTATATTCAGTCGCTTTCGTTAATATTTTATTCCTCGATTACTTATGACTAATATAAACTATGCGATACTTTATTGGATAACAAAGAAAAACTTGTATGCGAAGTTGAACAGAAGTCAGTCATCCATCACCGCGCACTCTTCGGAACGGACAACAAATCTATTTTAACTGATCATCCCCTCACTACATTATCGTTCCCCTTTTAGTTGGAGACTCCCCAACCATCGTATCTCGTCTGTCAACTCATGCAGAGTGAATATTACTTACTCCGCTGACAGTTCTAATTAATGTGAAAAATATTTGCTTTACAGTATCTTACAGAAAGTAGGAAGATTTCATTTCACTCTAAATAGAAAAAAATCTGTAAAGTAATGGGAAGAGGAACAAAATCCTGTACTCATATATCAAGATAGTTTCACATTTGCTCTGTTGGAACGGTACGATAGTAAGGGGAGGAGAATGCGTCTGCAAAATATCGGCTAGTTTACGTTAGCGTGGCTCGGTGTGTGTAATCGTTCATTAATCACTAGCGAGCTGTGCCCTATCACCGCAGCGAAGCCACGATCTCGTTGGACATACTGTTTTGCTGGCTCGATGCATTCAGGCTTTTGGAGCATTGCTGAAATACACAATATCTATCAATATATTTTGTTTGGAAAGGAAACGTCTTGAGTGAGTCAGTGGGTACAAATCGTTGCCAATAAGTAAGTTGTTGATGCTGAAGAGGGCGGGCTTTTTTCTTGGAAATATATTTCGATTTAATACGGATAGGTACCAAAATAAGTTTTATTTTTGTTAGCATAGCAACGACGATATTTCAAACATTGAGTGTCAATAGTCTAGTTTACTTTTTTGTCTATTAATAACATCACCCTTATATAGAATTCAAATCCGCACTTCGCAGTTAGCTAGCGATTAGAAAAACTTTCTAGGAATATAAATGACCTTTAAATGTACTTAAACGGTTTTATTTCGGTCCATAAACTGTCTAGCCCATGTAATATCTGCCCTATGAACTCAAGTTAACCTTAATACGTGTTTTGTATGGAGCCGACACGAATACACATAATTACGCACAATAATGTTATTAAATATTCAGTCCAAGAGTTGTTAAGTTAAAACTAGTAAATTGGCCGTCGTAAAGCTGGAGAGTTTGGGAAATAAAACTCGTGCCGACCGATTGTTGATTTGATAACCGTTGTTAGTAACAATTGGATGGTTAAGTATGATTATTTTTAACAACATAAAACGTGTGATGTTCATGTCGAAGCTATTTAAAACCGAGTTTCGTTTACAAGGTGAATCGAAATTACATTAAAAATTAAACGTGCCGAACTTAATTTTTGGAGTAAGTTCTTTCTAAGTTAGGTACTTATTGAGTTTCCAAACGTTCATCGACTAAATTGTCTGGTACGTCGATTGAAGTTAAACTGCTGTTCTAAAGTATTTCTGTGGCCGACATACTCAAAGAGTTTCTTTAGTCTTAGTTTTAAGTTGGGGCATTTATTTAAATACGTGTCTTAGAAGACTTATAAAAATGAAAATGTCACGCCCTATCGGTTACAAACTTAAAATCAAATGACAGTCTTTGCTGTAGAAATAGGGGCGGATATTCTGTCACGTAAGGTGTAAAGTGGACCTGGCCATACAAATCTGTGTGCTTGAACCCTGAAAGAACTTGAAAACAAGATTAACGAGGTCAGGATACGGGCGTTCGATATATCATGACATCTTCCATTAGTACCAAAATGTTAAAAATTGCAAAAAGGTATACACCCTAGTATTCGAATACCTTTTAATAGAAAAAGGGACATTTAGCCTAAAATAACGTACCTTTTTAGGGTATTTTTAGGAATGACATTTTATGTACAAAGTCTAACTCCATATTCGATTTAGTAGGTAGCTTATTTTCGTCTTTATTATAAAAGGGATAAAGATTATAATGTTTTACTAAGCTTACCATTTGCCGTGACTCCCAAGCCTTCATGGCGCTCTTGTACTTCTCGAACTCATGGCACCAGTCTGAGTACACTTGCTTGTATTCCTGCGACTTACTCGGTTGAGTACATCTGCAAAACGTTTTATGATCAAAATGGGTCTTAGACTGACAAATTGTTACAACTATTGTACCAAAACACTTCAACTTCAACGTTCGGCCCTATAATGAAGTTATAACGTAACATTTCTTTCTCAGCTTTTGACCTTTTATTAACAACAGAGTCTAGATTTTAATGGATTGGCTAGTATAAATAACAACCGTCAAAGATCTCAGTTACCTGTGTATATCGATGTCCAAGTTATAAGAAGCGATCAAGGTGGGTCCGAAATAACATTCGTACCGGCCTCGATCTGATTCTGTTACCGACAGTAAAACCAGACCACGTTCAGACGTCTGCAGAACTCGATCCCAACTAGACAAAAACAAATTAATTATAAACTTAGAGAAATATATTCTTTCTCTGTATTTTAACTACAGTGAGACATATCAAACCAGTTATGGCAAGGTTTATTCTAGTTTGATTAGTTTCAAACCACGCTAAGGCCTTTTTTTCGATGACGGGGAAACCTTCAAAATAGAAGAAAAATGAAGGAGTGTGGGACTTTTAACGGACTAAAACCACCTCGCTGGCCACCCTCAACATTTATAGGACACCACGTCCTCTAAAAGCCCTGCCCCGAGCCTTCCACAGTGCAGTGCCTGTAACTGTACATCTCTAGGGAGACGGGTCTGTCTGTCTGTGCTACCGTCTTCCCTGAACCACGCCAGGACCTTAGTCTGATGCGGCAAGCATCGTACAATACAATCGAGAGATATGCATTAATTATTAATAGAGTAAATACTTACTTATAATTAATTTTGTACCGCCCTTTCTCTCTTGAATGATGATACCAGATGACATGCTGGTCTTTTAGAGCTTCTGGAGTCTTTCCATACGCTGCTAAATGGACGCTTTGTCCCATAGCCAGCTCTTACAGTCTTCAGAGGAGCACTGGCCTCGCATATCGAGGGAGTGGAGTTGGTGGCATCATGGAGTAACCCTGGACTGTATGGACGGCAGGCCCCCACTTCTTTATCCCACCCGCAATAAGGGTCCAACACGCAGCGAACACAACTGTACCTTTTTTGAAAAATAAAAGTTTAAAATGTTAAAACGTTCTTGTTTAGTTTTCCTGGGTCGTTTATACTTTTGTGGGGACATAAAACATTCGAAAGCTACTAAAACCACTTAGGTCTTAACTTGCGAAATTGGATATTTTACAGAGCAACGAAATGTTTATTATTTTAGTTATACCAGCTAAACAATTGAATTGGGTTTATAGGTCTTAAAGCGAAATATTTGGTAAACTACCTATAACTGAGAGTACTTTTTGATTTGGAGTAGATTGCAGTCGTTCAGGTGCAGTGACCAGATGTTTTGGAATAGGTATATAAATATGATATAACATCCTTTAATACAAGAATTTTGTTAACTTCCTACATACGTATCACAAACGAATAGTAAGTACACACTTTGTTTGCAGATTAATTGTAGGTTAATGCAGAATGGTGCGAAACTGGCCTACTGCAGACACTTCATACATTTACACAATTACCACTAACATTAAACAAACTTGCAGCTGTTTTCAACTCACTCATTACTGGATCAGAACAGATAAGAAATACCTTTAATAAATAAGTAATACCTATAATCATAATCAGTACTTAGGCAAACAGCAGCTGTTGCTTATCAGCGCGAGACACAACGCGCCCGCACATGAACCCTATTCTATAGAACTTGCGATAATCTGAGTGACAGACATATTAATTGTATGTAATAATAATCTCTTAACAGATTTTGATATAGCGGTTAACCCCGATACAGTCTAGTCTAATTTATAGAAAGCTTTTTTATGGGTTAGGCAGGTAAACGAGCAAACGGATCACCTGATGGTAAGCATTAACAATCGGTGTCGCATAAGGACACCTTTGAACACCAGAGGCGCTACAATAGTGCGTTACATTCGTACCGAAGCATGGCTCTCCCATGTGGGAGAGCGATATGTATATGTAAGTGTTTATACACCATTTACTTACTTCTGTCCGACATATATTATATCCTATTCCTTTGTTTTAATGTCTTTGCTAATTAAATTGTAATACATCTCACATATATTAGGTAAACCTTCTTTTTCTTCCGTAGAGTGGGGACCTGGAGATTTGTTATACAGGTATTTTATCCTAACAGAGACTAATAATCTAGTCTAATAATTAAGTCTAATAATTGCATTATTATACAAAGCTACAAATAATGTAAAGTTAGAAAGGTGCATTCTCTGTTCCTTATCGTGATGATTTATTTATGTGCAGAACATACGTAAATAATATAATTAATCCTTTAGCTTGACATGACGTGGCATTCAAGCTCGCGACATGACTATTACTATAGCAGTATAGCTCAGCAGCTGTGTTGTTGCGCTAACTTCCGAACATAACGTTAAAATACTTAGATATGTACTCACCGGTGCGCACAGGCTCTTAATGGCAGTTGTCGAAGGCGGTTATCAGTAGCCAAGTATAGCGCGTGCAGTCGCCTGGAGATTGCCAAAGCTCGCACTGGTTCATCCCCAGCTGCCCGCCATACATCAGCCACTCGGGATCCACCGCCCCCACCCCCAGCCCATTGAACTATCTTGTACACTTCACCTGCGCCTACGCAAAATTACAAAAATACTATGTCAGTGTTAATACACAGGGCAATATGTCAACTGTTAGTCAGTAAGAGTCTGACACTCCCTCTCGCCTCACCCGGGTGAGAGAAGTAATTGGATGATTTTCCACCCTAAAAAAAAATGTCAACTGTCAGTCAAGCTATACTTTTCAATTTTATTGTAAAATAGTAAAGTTGATATTAAAAGGTATTTTAATTTGGTCTGTACTTGATAAAACACCAGGACAATAACCACTTCAGTTAAAATTTATAGAAAACCCACTACGTTTTATGGCAATGTAGTCGTAAAATCATACAATATTATGTCATTACTTTAACTGCTATGAAATAATAGAATGAAAAAGGATCACTTAAATCCCTATTTAACCCGTTTAAAGTTCATGAATCTTTTGTAGCTTGATACATATTTATAAGACCTCGCAGCTTTGTACCATGGAAGTAGGAAGAAACTACAGATCATCATCTACTACTTACTTTTTGAACTTCACATTAACACAACAAACGCCATGGGGGCGATCGATGCGGAGGATTTGCCTTTTTAAGTTTTCTATTGGCAATCAAAGCCTTAATGCATCAATATACAGGCATTCTGATGAATGAATATTTCACACCTGAGCTATTGTGAGTTTGCGTCTATATTTGTTACTCGAACACATCAAAATGACTGAAGGGATCGTGATAAAATTTGAAACAGAGGTATGGACACATAGGTTACTACGTCAACCTATGAAGTATAGAAAAAATAAAATAAATATCCTTCGAGAACGTGGGTGAAGTCGCTGACAGAAGCAAGTAATGTATTAGTAAAGTGAATGTAATAGCCTCAACTGCCTCGTTGGCCGAGTGGCCGCAAGTGCGACTGCCGGGCAAGGGGTCTCGGGTTCGATTCCCGGATCGGACAAAGCATTACTGGGTTTTTAAAAAAATCTCAGCAGTAGCACGGAGTCTGGTATAGGCTCACCCCCTATTACATGGGACTCATAACAAAAATAGTGAAAAGTGGGTGTTACATTGTACAGGGCATAGTGTGCACCTCTGCCTACCCCTTTCGTGGATAAAAGGCGTGATGATATGCATGCTATGAATGTTATAGTCAACTTACTGGTGCCAGCATAGAACACGGTGTACGTGATGTCATCCCCCAACATGTCGACAAACTGCCGGTCGACTACAATGGTGGTTAGCACCAGGTCACGTTTGTAGAAGGCTGGGGCATCTCCTTCGTGACGCACCGCAGAGTCCATTAACGGATGAGACCTAGTGAGGAAGATAAATGGATTTGTGATGATACATTAATTATACAAATACATAATGTCGTATACAAATTATGTATTCTAGAAAGTATAGGCGGAAGTCCCTTAACGCCGGACGACACCTAACGCCGGACACTTGTATTATCTCAATAACTAATAACGCGAGCGATTCAAATTTAGGATTTTTAGTAAAAATTTAATCGCTCATGTTAAGTTATCGATATAATACAAGTGTCCGGCGTTAGGTGTCCTCTGGCGTTACGGGACTTCCCCTTACAGATATTATCATCATAAGCTGGAACATAGATTCTGCAGCTCTATTTCTTTAATGATTTTTCACTTCTTTAGATACATATGTACTCCAATTTCATTTCATGAAGCTCATTTAATTAGAACCTACATCGACAGGCTAAGTTACATAACTAAGGATTAAGAAAATTCAAATACCTCTAGATTCTAAAAAATACTCGGTAATCGTAGATCCAACCAATTTAACAACGAAGCGATATCAAAGATATCAGAGGCAAAAGCTTCGTACAAAATAACAGGCAAGAAATGCAAGAACGATTGTAAAACCAGATTGACTAGTAGAACTAGGTCAACTACCCAGGTTCGTTTGATCCAGTGGAACAAGATACCACTATCACGTTTGTCTAACACGATTTCAATTTTATCAATGTTTCTCCGTACCCAAGTTTTCGAAACACCTACAAATACGTAAATAACTCTTCATGGCAACAATAGGATTTCCTGTCAATTAGCTCGAGCTAGACAATTAATCTAGACACTTACGTTACAGCCCTGTGTCACTACAATAGGCCTAGGCGTGGACGATTACGAAATCCAATATTCAATTGTATTGAGTGTTAAGTTTCTGTTATTCTAGAATATAGTCTAAAAAGACTAAAATTGTGCCGTATCGAAGTTCACACAATTTGAGGGCAAGCCCAGTTTTGCCCTTAACAACATGTATTTATTATTAATACATAGTAAAACTCATCCTTTGATAAAATAGCATCATTACTATTGATAGGTAATACTTCTATAATATTGTCTCTGATAATATACAGAAGCAATCAACATCGGTCTGAAACACGTGATATCCACAAATCCTTATCAGATCCACGTGGGTCAAGACAATTCCAACTCTCTCAGAGGAAACCAACATCCCAACAGCAACGTTATAAACCGATTTACGTTATACCAAAGCAACAAACTTTTCAGTTGACACCTAACCAATCCCTGGAGCCTTCCTTTCTATTAGTTTTGACAATTATCCGAATATCCGAAACCTATTTAAGTTCCCTAAATTAGAATAGAGTAGGAATCTCGCAGCGCGCCATCAATTAGTGTGTGACCCAATTAAAGGATACGCGTCGAACTAACGCCCTCTAACCTTGCTCAGATTAGTCTCCTGAGAGCAAGATTAAACTCTAACATTACCAATATCTTGAAAGTGTGCACACCAACTTAATACACCTTGTTAATCATGCAGACTTGTAAATTAGCGCTATTTATTTTTAGTGTGGTTAAAGATGTACATACATACATGAGAGTAGGTAAACGACGTATCATACAAATTTTAGTTATGTTTGAATATGTCTGTCGCTTGGAGTAATTAGTACTAATTCTATTTATGAACTACACAGGTTTTCGATGTAATTGGAGCTTACGTATACTCAATACATAAGTATTGAGAGACATTAAGTAAATAAATTAGTTTAAGTCATTACCTGATAAAATTAAGGACGTTGTCGGGCAGAGCCTCCGTATTGTTGACACAAGTGCCTGGCCTGGGAACTGGCACGCGAGCTCTTAGCACAGGTAACCATGCTGAACTGGATGATGCCTGAGTGAGTACATAGTAATCATAAGAATTATGGTAGAACAATAGGTAATTTAGAAACTAATTCTCGTTGAAATTGCAATAGGTAGGTACGGTAAAAATTAAAATTATGCAATGACAAAGAACTTTTTCCTCGTAAATAAAACCTCAAATCCTTTAGGTCGTTTATAAAAACATTCATAAAAATGCAAGAAATGCTACCCATTATCTAAATATTCTCTTTTTCACTGCATAAAGCCCCAACTATCTATAAAAAGCCTTTGCAAAGAACGTATTTATATGAAAAGAGGTAAAGAGTAAAATACAGCATAATTATTCATAACTAGCGCACTCATAAGCTTAATTCCAGTATGCGGAGTAAGAAATTACAGCTGTTAATAATTTTAATCACTTATAATATTATACTGGGTTGAATACAAAGTTAGAATGGAGCATCCTTTGTGGTATATTCGTAGATCATTCAATTAAACGTGAAAGAGATATCTACGTCCTTTCACGACATTTGATACGTCACATGGTGAGCCCGTGGGACCAGTCGGCTGGGGTTATTTCACTTGTGCATCAGCACTACACACAAACATGCAATTCCCAAACGGTTAGACTGAAGTACACCAGTCACTTTCTGTTAATTGACTTAATTGGGTTTAAAGGGTGAAGTGATTGGTATAAAACTGGGCGTTCCATTCAGTTCTATCGTGTTTTCATTTAAGACAAAATGAGAATCATCTTTCCAGTCATTTTAAAAGTATCTATACACAAAACAGTCTAATTTACTTATGCTTCGAGATTAAAAGAGGTTGAAATGAACTTTAAACGGAGTCTGGGGAGTTTTTATAGCCTTCCTAGAATATGTCTGGCATTAAATTGTGGCAGTAAAGTTATACCTGTTCCTTGAATCTTCCAGCGAATGCCTCCTGTATATCGTCCATGGTGTAAGTGCAAATGGCTGAACCAACCAGGCCATCGCTCGCTCCCGTCGTGAATGCCGCATAAAACCGCGTCGTATCGCCCGGCATTTGGTACACGCTCTCTGGATCACGCGTTTTAGTGTTAGTTTCAAAATAAAAGTCATCGTTAAACTTAGTATATGCACATCCTGTACGCTTTTAGCATTTTATAAATAGTACTCAACTTGCAACGAAACTAAAGATCCATAAAGGTAGCAAATAAGTATTCACTCGAGACTTTCACAGAATTTAATGCAGATACTTAAATGTGACTACAAACTTGCGCCCCAAATAAAATCCGACTTTACAACGTAGCAATGAAATGAAAGCCCGAAAATGTTAAATTCCATAAAAGTTGAATTAAAATACGGCTATTAAAAAGCGTAGACACAATTATAAGATTGAAAACTTACATAACAGAAGTTGTACTTACGAATTTCATCAAAATAGAAGGGGAACTCTCCCGGTATACTACAATTGAGCCTCGCTTTCAAATATGTGGCCCAGTTCTGGCTTAATATATGTTTTCCACCGGTATCGTGTTTACAGACTCTCGCCACTCTCGAGTAGACAGCTTTCCCGCAGTTCATAAACTCCACAGCAGTTTCTCGAAAGAAGAATAGCACGTACTCTCCGACGTCGAAAGAGCCCACGAAATTAGTTTCTGCGGTAAATTAAAAACATTGTAGCATTTCGAAATAATATTAAAGCAACACGCAATTACAATTTTATCGTTTCTGGATTACGATTTCATTAGCAAATGTATTTATTGTAGAAATACCGAGATGCTCCGATAAAATTGCCTTTCCTTAACATTTCCAATAACTAATAAAAATGTAGGCTTTTATTTCGGGTCGTTTAGCTGACAGGTCAGACATTGTACAAGGTTCTTCTTTATTTCCTTTTATGTTCCTACGATAAAGAGTAAGCACCTATAGGTTTTATCGTAGTCTCGTAAAAGAAAGTACGGAATAAGGGACAAAGACCCAATATCCCGATTAATATAATGAACGTCCCCAGGTTTATTCATTCAGTAATGCTGATATTTTGCATGGCCATTGTAAATTTTGATCGTAGATGAAGATCTTTCAGCTACGGGTACTTTTGTTAGACTACTTAGACATATTCTTGTTTGTATTATTTCGACCAAAAAAATTCATTTGAAGGGTGAATAGTTCTTCAAATAAATATTCAACTTTAACAACATGGCTGTTTAGTATTTAGTTAGTAAGCCTAGAATATTTTGTTATGCCTACTAAAACCTCAACATATTAATATTCACTACGACTATAACAATCAACTACTGCCCAATTTCAGCCATAATAAATGAGATGTAGTTATTCAAATTAATACCTACAGTCTACAATGAGTTGAACATTCTTGGTCTTATTTAAGGTGTATTAATCATTCTTATTGGTTGTACTTCTAAGAGAATTTATATTGGGGCGACTGCGGTCATAATTTCACAAAATATTGTAACACTTCTACTAGACAATGGACAACTATTTCGAATATTGGATTTACACTGACATTTAAATAGATAATTAATTATTTCGACTGCAAAAGTTTGCCAACTACGAGCGTTTAACGTACAAGTTTTGTGTCCATTGCTGTTACGAGAGAGCATAAATACAATTACAGTGAACATTCCCTCAGACAGACATGACTTGTGGCGTGGCACGAACTCGCGAGAAATCCTTAATTTTTCTTTGAAGTTACCACGTACCAAGGTCGTCTGCCAAGTCAGATCTGTCTGTAAAGGTCATATTACAGCTGAATCTAAAAAGAAGGAGAAATTAACTTACTGTCAAGCCACTTGGAATCGTACTTCAATGTTCTTTTAAAGTTATATTTCTTCTGTCCTGTTCGGAAGTCGTACAAATCGTTTCGGAATATAACAGGGTCTGCTTTCGTGAACTCTGCGTTAGTTCCCGCGTAGAGAGTGGGGAGTCCGCCAGGGTTGCCATCCGTCACCCACACCGCTGTGCTGTTGTCTGCCGGGTCGTAAGGACACTTCGCCACCCCTAGCCCTACGCCCGGCACGTACTCATGTCGGGGCAAGTGAGTGAGATTCAGCTAAATGAAAATAAAAAAGATTTATTAAATCGTTCAATTCAAAGAGACAAACACATAACATTTAATATTTTTGAGGATTTACACAACTCTATGTCATTCCAGATGTCGTCGTCCAGGTAGGGCATCACTAATTACTATTAAATCCCATTATAAATCAATCAATTAGTAAATCTTCTATACAAAAGGTCATCTAAATACCTTATGCTATCGTAAATAAAAAACAGTAATTTAAAAATACATTTGTCACTTCAATTGTAAGACTAGATATTCACCTCTATAAATACACAAAATATTCCAAAAGCATGTAATAAGTAACAAAATGCTAAATGAAAAGTTGAACCACTATTACAAAGTAAGTTTTCTCTCAGTGTCTGTAAGATAAATGGGGATGACAATGAAGAGATCAATCTTACATTTGGTAACTAGTTGGGGCTAGTAACTACTAACTGTCGGACTGATCGAACTACTTAATGGTGATAGAAGCCATTAACCATTTTACGGTTAATCGTTAAGAGAATGTTACTTTACCCTTTAGATTTAAAGACTAAATTTTCTTTGTTAGTTACGGGTCGAACCTTTAATTACTGAAGTAATTAAGATAATCTCATCAACACTTTATAAATTGGGGAGAAGATTAGAGTTTTGGGAGTCGAGTATTTTAGAAATCCTTTTTTGTTGTTCGTGCCAGTTTTATATTGAAGTTTGTTTTTTTTTATGAAATACGTTATTTGTTTTTTATTGTAGTCGCAACAACTGAATTTGTCGCTTCAATTGCTAGTCTTTTTGGTTTATATTAAGCCTTGTAAAATACATGTTCATAATGTAACATCACGATTTTTATTTCACGAAGGGGATTCCATAATTTTGGGCCTACTTATAATTAAGAAATTTATTAGAGCTCAATTGCACACTCCTTAATAATTAATCGAACTTGCGGATCGAACTAAATACTTCTGAGAAAGTCCCAATAAAAGCTGAATTAACATTTCCAAGATATAAGATAGGTACTTACATATACAACCCAGTCTTTCGGACTGTGTGCATTAGTCCCGCACACATATAACCTCTCTCCATCTCCAAGTGGCTGTAGCACCCGAATATGATTCCTGCACTCAAAGGGCTCAGACTTGCCCTTGCTCACACACCTGGCCACGTTGCTCGCCTCCAGCAACAACGCGTCCCGCTGCGAAACATGCACATGTTAATAACTGCAAAACATGTGCTTTACTAAACATGTGTCTGCTAATTCAATAACCGTGTCTACCGTTAGCATATGTCGCGCCCCATCTCTTAAATTACCATGAATTCCAAAACCGTGAATAATACATAAATAGCTATCATTTTACATTAATACGAATAGCAAATAAAGCTTTATTGTCTAATAATAAAACGGTATAATAAATTCAGACATTTTATTTCAGTGCTTTGCTTGAAATCAAAACAGTTGTCTACCATTCGCTCGCCTCGTTGAGCCATTCAAAAGTTGACGTGCTACAGAAATAATCCAGCTCTAGATATTAAACACACGTGAAATATATGTCTGCTCTGATTCAACGCCCTGAAAATAGTGTGGAACTTGTCTTTTTATAGACAACTAATAACACTTCGTTTTTATTTAAACGTACATACCTGATACTTGACGTAAGTATCAAATAAAACGCACGCGACCTCTTTATGATAGAATGTAAGGGTTTTAATGTCAAAAGAGTATGACACTTACGTGTGAAAATGTAGAAAAAGCTTATATGAAAGCAAGATGCATTAAAAATCCAGTGTAGTGCCGCCAAAGTGTTCTTTAGAATTCAGCAACCGTAAACAAGCGGTTGGTTTTACTTTACAAAAAAGTTTTAGAACTTAATTTTAGGGTGATATTCTGTGAATGGTTGTTGCAGTCAAAATTGCAATTGCATTCAAATTCGTATTTTACTTAGAGCGGTTTAAGATCTCGGATGCTAACGTTTATCTGCATATGAGACAGATGTCAGAATAGAATCAAAGCTAGTTCAATCGAATAATCTGTTTCTGACCGCATCCATGGATAGACTTGCAAACGATCAGGTTCTAAACTGAACAATATTTCTTAGGCACAGGGAAGACTGTATATTCTGTATAAAGGTGCATTAAGATCTCCTAAGTCACCTTTATACCTAAAACGTATAGGTGAACTATAAGTATGTCCTAAGATGTATTCAGTCACTTTTCAAACAACATTAGTGTCAGTCAGTTACCCTTTGTAAACTACAAACTACTTACAATTCCAATAACTGTAACTTAAGTATTCTTACCTCACAATGCGACTGACTAATATCAGTCATATTTAGTCTGAATACACGATCCCTGGAACAAAAATGGCCACTTAAATGAAATTGTTTATGGAAATAACTGTAATGCAGTTGTAGAAGCACGAGATAATAATAGTTTCTTAGCTACATTACGTATTCAAATAACAAAAGTAAGACAATCCACGTTGGAATTGAATGAGCTTGGTTCTAGTGGGCGGGTGCACTGGCGGGTAGCGGGTAGCATATGCATGTGCGCAGACAACCTTTTTCTATTATTTTTTGTGTCCACTATCTGCTCAACGGATCGCATAAATTGCGCTGAATTGTTGGCTGTTTAGCATTAATGCTTCGTAAGTTCGACCGTTTAGTTTTAGTGTCTTTAATGGCAATTTGTGTACACGATTAATTTCTACGTGTACATTGTACATAATATATGTATCTACATGATATCAAATGTTGTTCTCCAAAGGGTTTTTTAAGGGGGGAAAATTATCGAATGACTGCTCCCGCCTGGGTGAGGCGGGAGGGAGTGTCAGACTCTTACTGACTAAAACCCACCCCGTTCCTTCTCCTGCACTTCGAGCCTGAGCCCCGGTAACCCGTTAGGTTCTCCGCGACTCTCCAAAGGGTATGGCAGAGGTAGTTTTACATACCTACACCGGACACCATTTTAACTTTTAAACTCATTACCATGAAGGGCTAGAATACCATACACCGGGTACAATAAAATTCCAAATTTCATTTTATAAATGAGAAACTCTATGGAAATGTATACCTTTGTCGATCGCAGTGATAGACATCATCAAATCTCGACTTAGCATTCGCCCAATACACCATTCATTTACAAACATTTCGATGACAGTTCATTACCAACTCTAACACTTTGTAACAGGTCTTAATTTATAGCGCCCAGTATATGTGGTTTGTTTACAAAATAAATGGTAAGTTCACGCCGTATTTGTTAAAGTTTGAGAATTTGAGAATGTATTGTAGAAGTTGAAAGTGTTAGATTTATGTGTATTCTTGTATTTGTACTTACATACGTGAAGTGGTTACGACTATCGTAAAGTCTTGTGTTACGTGTTAATGCTGGACATAAAATATAGTAAGTACATACCTATTTATTTTTCCTTAATAAAACCTGTAGTCTTAAAATTATTTTTATTGCTTTAAGTATATGTTCGTTATAATATATACTAAAACGTTAGTTGAATAAATGGTGTCAAATAATTGCAGTTGTCAGTAAACAAAATGATTCTATTTTTTCATCACATTTTAATATTTACGCTGTACATACTTATAGCACATTACTCAAGTCACAAAATAAACTGCAAAACACTTTCTGCATGAATATTCCAAGGAGACCACTATCCTGTTAGTAATGATATAATATTCATATTTTGTGATAAACTCTATCTTTAGTCTTTATGCTAAACACTTATTATCTACTTATTCCATACTACCTGTAGTAAAAATATAAATATAAAATAATCAGTTCTGCTTGCATTATGTCTGTTCCCCTAACGATTAAAGTAACTTATAGACTAGTGTGCTAATAAGGTAAACACATTTCCCTAATCATATGCCATAGTTTTAATATTAACAAGCAATTTAAATATAAAATTCCAAAAAGTTGACTTTCAGGTATGTATTTAAAATATCATAATGTTAAAACTACACTCTACTTGATGAGGTAGGTAAAAAGTTCACGCACACATGAAAAAGAAATATTATGCATTGGACGAGGGAATTACATAAAAAATATCATAAATGTGCATTGCTCCGGCGGCCATGTTTGGAAGGTGCAAAATGTAATCTCGAGGGAACAAAAGCATTATAATATTCGGACATTTGATGGATGGACAGTCTAAACAAACAGACAGACAAACAAACAAAGCGTTAAATGAAAAGAACTTTTAAAGATCAATTCTACGAACTAAGTCACAAAGATTCGAAGACTTTCGTGAATTAAAAATCGGATTTGCTCTAAAGTTAGGTAATTAAGCGCATCTAGAATCTAGACTAGTTCAATCCATTGGGATTTAATTTATTTAAAAGTCTGACTCTAAGTTCGTGTCATTAATGTCTTAGTCGCTTTAAATCCATCAATATTCCGTTTCAAGAGAATGGGACCGTAACTTCAAGTTATTTTTCTAAAAGAATACAATTACAAACAGCTTAATTTACCTAATATGAAAAGAAGACTGATAATTTACTTATTGTAAAGCATATATTCTTCTCGACTCAAAACTGAGTCGTCGCACTACAGCGGTACAAAACCAGAAATATTTAAAACCTTAACAACTAAACTCATTCAGAAAATTAGTGTCACCGTACATACATTTCAACGTAAACGTCTGGACAGGGGAAAAAGGGCAGCATGAACAAACAAAAGTTGACAGAAATTGGTGGATAATATGGTTTCATGTCGTGAACCCATTTCCCATGTAAATCATGACGGTGACGCAAGTGGTTATGGTAACAACACTAATCAGCCACAATTGTACCCTTTTGTATTTATATTTCTCTTTCTGATAAAACAGAAATAATTAACAGTAAAAACAACATAATATGCGCGGTATTTTTGACTAACTGCGAGTAATTACTAAGGAATTGTTTGCTTCGTATTAATTTGCTTGCTAAGTTAGCTTTTAGATTTATATCTATTAATGTTATATAATAATTGAGGAGCTTGTGGCTAAGTTATAGATTTGTATATACTAGTCAAATTAGAGGGTAAACTATGTCTACCGTAATTAATTTGTGATCCAATGTTAACAATTGTAATACCTAAGTCATCAGCGGTTTACTTAAAGGTCAACAGCTACTTAAGGCTTTTAAACGAAATCTATTAAGAAATTATTGAAAATCTTACCGATTTCAGTGCCAACTTACTTACTTACTTACTTACTGTCGAGCAAAAATACTGATAATTCTTACGCGGCATTGAGTGAAGAGTGTTTTAAGAAGTTGTTAATACTAACACGAAGATTGGAATTTTCCTGGTGTATGGCAATTAGCAGTAAGTAGGCTCACCCATTGTCAGATGGAACTCGTAACGTTAAGTTACGATTGTCAGTTTACTTGTATATTATTTCCTATGAAAAGTGGGTATTACTCTGTTTTACCTGCATCTATGATTTATTTTTTTATATTTGATGGGCCGACGTTTGACCACTATCTCGCCTGGTGGTAAGCGATGATGCGGTCTACGATGGAGCACGTCGTCCCATAAGCGACGTATTCACTCCGATATTCTCCTATATACTATTCTCGGTGATTAAAATCATGACTTTTGCTATGTTATAATATTATTCATACCTTCTAACAAATACCTCTACATAACCTACATAATGATATATTATACAAAAATGCATTGCATACTTACATAGCACCAACGTAAAGTGTATTTCTGTCCTCGTTTAGATACAAAGTACGGTAGAAGAGACTCCCGCAGGAGAACTCTCGTATATGATCTGTAACAAAGAAATATAATATATTTAGTTGTGTGCACATTGCAGTATTACAAACTTCTTATGTCACAAGAAAGTTATGTTTTAGGCTGAAGTTCTTCATATAATCTTAGTGAAAATTTTAGCTTCTATATTGAAATAGAATAGATTTTTATAGATTTGCTTCGTTGGCCGAGTGCGGCTGCCGGGCAAGGGGTCTCGGGTTCGATTCCCAGGTCGGGCAAAGTATTACTGGGTTTTTTAAAATCTCAGTAGTAGCACGGAGTCTGGAAATGTGCCCGGTATATGGCAATAGGCTCACCCCCTATTACATGGAACTCATAACGTAAATAGTGAAAAGTGGGTGTTACATTGTACAGAGGCATTAAGTGCCGAAACGTGCACCTCTGCCTACCCCTTCGGGAATAAAAAGGCGTGATGTTAAGTTAAGCTTTTATTTTAGATCAAGGTGACAAACTATTTTTACCAATATTGCAATTTTACTAAAATGGTATTTAGTATTTCTCTTTATTTCTATTCGTTTATTTACACTACGCAATTTATAGCAATTTACACACACCTACCTGATAACATTTATTATACTTTTGATAGACTCATGGAAATACCTATCTACTAAAAGCATAAAGTCATCAGTTTAATCTGAATCTTTATTTCGAAATATACAATACACTATTGATAAATTACAACAGTAAATTAAACTTTAGATTTGTTAGTTATTCACTCTATAAATCCCAATTTATGAACAGAAAATATACATAAAAGTTATAAAGCCGATTCATGGCGGGTTTATGCAATGGATTTTTAAGTATTCCATCATTTGCATAAGAATTGGCTATCGAAATATAATAACAATATTTCATGCAGACAAATTGCAGTTGCTGTATATTATTTTTATATTTTAATAATAAACGTGTTACAAAAATCGGTTTTATATCCTAAAGCGATACATAGAACCGCCTTTTCCCTACACAATAAAATGATAAGTGGAAACAAAAATTACCACAATTCTAGACTCTTAGGAACTACACATTTTTTATTCAAAAAATGTGATTCAAGATATGTTTTTAAGTGTTTTCTGACTGTGGGATATGCAATCCAAAACCGTAATTAAAAAACTATGCTATAAATATAACTTGTCGCACAAACTCGATTAAATTCGCTAAACATTACCCGCATTAAATAACAAAGCAACGAAATTATTTAACTACATTAAATACACATAAAACTAACCCTTGTGTGACGTGCCATCATTACAATATAATAAAATCAAAAGCATGGGTTTCTGTTTACCCTAATTACCATAAAACTCAAATGACAGGAAGCTACGATTACAAATAGACAATCCATTTTTTTCCGGCTTTTAATAAAATAATGATAGACTGTCACTGTGAATTATTAATGTGAAGTAAAATATAGCTGCCATATTTACACTTCATCCAATTAAATATATAGTACAAAAAAAATATACAGAACATTTTAATTTTTTTTTTTAGCTTTTATTCTCGTTTTTATTTTCTGTTTTAGTTTTAGTTTATAGGTGTAAGTACATGTGTATTTTATCTATTTGCTTATTATTTAAGTTCCTATATAAAAACAATAAATAAACCGTTTATATTCCTTAAATATTTAGATAATAGCACATCCAATTTTATTTAAGTAATAGGTCAAACTCGAACTCAAAAGCATTAATTTCAATTAAACCATATTTAGTACTTTTGAAACGTCAACAAAAATAAAATAAATAATAGTCTGTCAGTCTTTTTGTCAGTGAATCCGTCACGTATTTGAATTCTTGTATGATTTTGCATTTTAATTTGATACTACGTTATATTAGTATTCGGAGTCGCGTTCTATCTGATCTTAACCGTACTCTATATAAAAATACTTTTGATAAGAATCTAAATATCAATATTTGAAGATACGTTATAAATGGACCCCATCAATTTATATCCAGTTGCATATCAAAATGTAAATACAGGAAAGGTAAAATGTTTAATTAAGTTACTATTAAGCTGTTGATATAAAGCTCATACACTTAATAGCCTTGTACAGTGTACGTACACACAATTTATAATTCAAAATCCAATACGAAATATTAAATAAAATTTCTCAAAACAAAACAAAGTATGCCATATGCAATTTTCGACGGCAACTAATTATAACTCCCGGGTAAGGAGGCGGTAGTTATTGGCAGGTGGTCCGACCGGCGCGCACGCAAGATCTCGTGACACCCCCGCTCGACATCGTCACGTTTACAACGACCTCTACTTAACCATAATTAAACTTTAAGGCTCATGCTTATAGGATATTGTCTGTAAGTAAATTTGATGGGTTTTATGGAATACCCTCTGTTCCACCACATTGTCAAAGGCTGAGGTTATGGAGTAATGGGACAAGTTGTATATTTCACAAAATGCTACTATCCTCTACACTCCCGCACTCCACTCCTCTCAATCTACACTCTTAGTATTATAAGTGTGAAAGTTTGTAAGAATGTATGTGTGTGTGTGTGTGTGTGTGTTTGTTACTCTTTCACGTAAAAAACTACTGATACATAGATGCTAGTTGCGTATATTTTTAAGCTGGTTTTATACAGACGCAATGTACCTACTTATGCGTTGTATTGAAATGCTGCATTGTCTATACATCCCTATGATAGAATAATAGAAATCGTTTTTAAATCTGTTACGAAGTTAGGGATAAACAAAGAGGCATTTTTATGGTGAAATGGGAAAATATGCATAATTTTGGAACGTAAAAATAAAACAGCAATATCTTTTTATTTTTGTGTTTTCGTCTGCAATACCATTGAAGATTTAAAAGCATGTCAATTTTATTACACAATAGAAATAGAACATCGTTGGCGATGTAATAATTATTTTTATAGCTTTGTCCCAAAATAATACATATACATATATATATGTCGCATTCATAACATTCGTGCTATAGGTATTTTGTATATATTTAAACAACATTAATTAAGCGGTAAAATTATTTATCTCTGCATTACAAACATTGAATGCAATACAATAATTGTCCTAGTTGCTATCAAATCACTCACTGCGATAAATTAGTAACCAATTCGGTTTTGTGGTGAAATATAATGTTCGTTACATAATATGTTAATGTCTGATTGATTTACATAAAGATTTGTAGATACGGATTCATATCAAACCATGGGCTAGATTATAGTATATATATATATATATATATATATATATATATATTTACATCCTGGAATCATTTTGGCGTCACACACGTCGCGCATCATTACGACGTCCCCCAGTTCCCCTTAACATTTTTAATATGTCTTGATGAATATTGCTTAGTTATTCGATTTCCAGCTTTGTAGGATACGTCATTTTCCGATAATTTTATTTTTCGCGATATTCTTCTTGCAGTCATGCTGCAACATTTTTGAACCCCAAACCATCGTGATAACTAATTGGGCTCCTAGATATATTGAACGTGATTTAACCATGGCTTCGGCTAATTAACGTCCTCACAGCGTGGATGGTATTTGCGAGTGCAACGTTGCCAGCTTTGGGTTCACTTGTCTCTTTCTTTTCCTCTCTCTTGTCACTCGTCTGGGACAGAGTTTTAACAGTATTACAATATTCGTAAAATCTATCAATACATATACTAATGCCCGATATTGGTATAATATTGGTAACAAGATGCAAAAAATTGAGGTTTCTATGAGATTTTTACATGAGAAGATGCCGCAGTAGGAATAACATATTTTTTAAATGTTTGCCTAGTCTATTCCATACATAAATACAAATCGGTTCAGCCCGCATGTGATCGGCGCGGCGTACCGGTTTTACAAATTTATCTAAAGAAAGAAACACAGAACTCAATTTTTATTTCAAAGTAAGCAAGAGTAAAATAAGTGAAAGTTTCTTCCCCAGCGGTCATCATGTAAGATCATCTATAACTGTGAAAGATCATCTAGTTATTGGGCGTCCGTATATAGTTATTAATCATCATCAGCCTATTTAAGTCCACTGCTGGACTAGCACCATCTACTGGGCTACGTTAGGAATTCAAAAATGGTCATGCAAATTTCAGTTGACCCAAACGCTATGGTCATCAAGTAAAAAGCTATATCACTATACTGCTCACACACGGAAATGGGAGGTCCGTTGATTGCGGATCCTGACAATTGACATGGTAATGGCAGGGGTCTCTTGCGGAGCCTGACGATGGCCATGCGCGCGAAGAAAGTTTCTTCCTCAGCAGGTATCACTTAGCTATCGAACGTCCGTATATAGCTATTGGGCGTCCGTATATAGCTATTGAACGTCCATATATAGCTATTGGGCGTCCGTATATAGCTATTGAACATCCACGTACTTCCTCAGCAGGTGTCATGTTAGATTTGAGGAGTGGCTTGAGAGACAGAGACGCTACGGCGTCCTTATCTACCGCCTGACGCAGGTGCTTACCGGACACGGAATTTTCGGTAGGTTCCTGCTTCGGATTGGGCGGGAGGAAACGCTCAGGTGTCATCATGGTGAGAGCCACCCGGGGGACACGGTGGAGCATACGGTGGCAGTGTGCCCTGCGTGGGCTGAACACCGTCGTGTCCTCAGGAATGTGATCGGCGACAGCGACCTCTCGCGTCCGACACTGGTTCAGACCATGGTACAGAGTGAGGGAGACAGGGATGCCGTCTCCTCCTTCTGCGAAGCAGTCCTGCTAGCTAAGGAGGAGGCAGAGCTCGTGAGGGAACGAGCCTCCTCACGCTCCAGCCGTCACGAGAGACACTCCAGGCGTCGGGGATCGCGAAACGGTCTCCGTCCACCGTAAGCACGGGCCTGCGGTCGGCGAGCACGGATGACTTGCCGCCCGATCAGAACCAGACCCGAACGTACGGCGCGTCGCGTTCCGCATACGCCCCAAGGAGCCATCAGACCACCACGGGTGGAGCTGATGCCCATACGGAGCCACAGAGGACTTAAAGGGTGACCGGGGCTCCGACTCGAAGTGCAGGAATAGGA